ACCTGACCGCTCAGCAATTTCATTGAGTGCCCACGAGTTCTTGTATTGTGAGAAAGGGAGAAAAGTACCTCTTTCTCTACCTGCTCTATCCCATGCATAATTTTATAAACCTCAATCATGTAATTCCTCAGCCATCGTTTCTCCAAGCTAAAGAGCCCCAAGCGCTTTAACCTTTCTTCATAGGGAAAGTGTTTCAACCCTTTTATCATTCTAGTTGCCCTTTTCTGCACTTTTTCCAAAGCTATAATATCCTTTTTAAGGTGTGGTGACCAGAACTATACACAGTATTCCAAATGAGGTCGCACCATTGATTTATATTTAATTTTCACATACAACTTAAAACAATAACAGAAACTATAAACAGTGTAACAAAGTATACATTAGACAGTCTTACAACTACTCAAACATATACAACTAATGCAATTATATAAAGAATGACATCATAAGCCAATAGCAGTACCATACCTATAATATAAGATACATATTATAATAAGCATAGAGATTTTGAGCATTTTCCTAAAATGGGCATGAGTCTCTTTCTAGCACAATCTGACCCATGAATTCTGCTGTTTCTCAAAAGGTTGATTTTGGATTTGCTAAGAAAATTGGAGCTGGACAAAAGACCTGGACCTTTTGTGGCACTCCTGAATATGTTGCTCCTGAAGTCATTCTGAATAAAGGACATGATTTCAGTGTGGATTTCTGGTCGCTCGGAATACTTGTCTATGAATTGCTCACAGGAAAGTAAGTGCCAGGTGAATCATTCCAGGTGTCTCTGGTTTTTGACCTTTTACGACTTGAGAGCAGTGTTCCCTCTAAGCTGAGGTAGTGTGAGCTAGCTCACAGTTTTTTAGCCTCCAGCTCACAGATTTTTGTCTTAGCTCAAGAAGAATGGTTCCACAGCAAACTAATTTATGCAGTAGCCAAATCACTCACTCACAACTTTAATGCCAGTAGCTCACAAAGTAGAATTTTTGCTCACAAGACTCCACAGCTTAGAGGGAGCATTGCTTGAGAGTAGTGTTCCTTCTAAGCAGAGTTAGTGTGAGCTAGCTCACAGTTTTTTAGCCTCTGTCTCACACATTTTTGTCTTAGCTCAGGAAGGATGTGGCTCCAGAGCAAACTACTTTATGCCGTAGACAAACTGCTCGCTCACGGCTTTAATGCCAGTAGCTCACAAAGTAGAATTTTTGCTCACAAGACTCCATAGCTTAGAGGGAGTATTGCTTGAGAGGTTTTCACTAATAGGTTACTTTTGTTCATTGTTTTCTCTGTTATTCATTGGGTTAGAAGAAGATGGGTAGCCCGCGTTAGTCTGTCTGAAGCAGCAGAGAAGAGCAAGAGTCTAGTAGCACCTTAAGGAATAACAAAATATGTGGCAGGGTAGGAACTTTCATGAGTCACTGCTCACGTCTTCAGATGCCACTGACTCACGAAAGCTCCTCCCCTGCCACGAATTTTGTTAGTCTTTAAGGTGCTCCTGGACTCTTGCTCTTTTCTTCTACTACAGACAGTTCTGCAGTTCTACCCCCACGGAAAGCACCATGTTTAGCCGTACAGAATGGGAAATTCATTGGGCTCACTGGGTTGCAGTGGTGGAGTACGTAGACACTTCTTGTACACAGGAAGTCCCGGCATCTCTCCAGTTAGAAGGGTCACAAACTGCAGGTAGGAAACACCTTCTGCCTGAGACTACAGAGAGCAGCTGGCATGTGGGTCAGCACTGGTCTAGACAGACCAAAAATGCGTCTTCTGTGAAGATAATTTCAGGTGGGAAGCCATGTTGGTCTGCAGTAGAACAGCCAGATTTTGTGTCCAGCAGCCCCCTCGAGACCAACACATTTTCCATGGTATAAACTTTCAAGAGCCTTATGCCCTGGAACTTATACCCTGGAAATCTTGCTTGTCTCTAAGGTGCTGCTGGGCTTGAATCGTGCAACTGTGTATCTGTTTACACACCGAGCTTGTTTTGGGGAGAGGCGACGGCTCAGTGGTAGGGTACAAGCTTTGCATGCAGACGATCCCAGGGGAAAGGAAGTGGGGCTCCGGTAGAGCATCCGCTTGGCATGCAGAAGGTCCTGGGTTCAATCCCCAGCATCTCCAGTTTAAAGGCGAAGGTCATAGGTGATGTGAAAAGCCTCTGTCTGAGATCCTGAGAATTGCTGCCGGTCTGAGTAAACTCTACTGACTGAGATGGACCAACAGTCTGATTTAGGGTTGCCCCCAGGTGGGGCCTGGAGATCTCCTGCTTTTACAACTGATCTCCAGCTGACAGAGATCAGCTCCCCTGGAGAAAATGGCGGATTTGAAGGGTGGACTCTGTGGCATTGTATCATGCTGATCCCCTTCCCAAACCCCCCCTCTCCTGGACCCACCCCCAAAGTCTCCAGGTATTTTCCAACCCAGACCTGGCAACCCAAGTCTGATTCAGTGTAAGGCAGCTTCATGTCTTCAGGAACCCTACAGTACAGCCCTATGCAGTCAAGCCCTCCTAAATCCGTGGAAGTCAGGGGGCTTAGAAATAGGTCTGCCACCCTTCAAGCAGGGCGTCGCATTCTCCCAGGATCACCACTGATCCCTAGGCTACAGAGATCAGTTTCCCTGAAGGAAATTGCAGCTTTGGAGGGTGTCTCCAGTTAAAAATACCTCCTGCAGCATGGCTGGAAATACTTCTTCCTGAGACACTGGAATACGGCTGCCAATTAGACCTATACGATCTATTTAGGGTTGCCATCTTCCAGGTGGCAGCTGGAGATCTACTCTTACAACTAAACTCCAGGTGACAGAGATCAGTTCACCGGGAGGAAATGGCTGTTTTGGAAGATGGACTCTGTGGCATTGTATCCCATTGAATTCCCTCCCCTCCCCAAACCCTGCCGTCCTCAGGCTACATCACCAAAATCTCCAGGTATTTCCTAATCCTGGAACTGGGAATGCTACAGTCTACTCCATCTGTCTATCACATTTTTTCTCCTGCCCTTCCCTTGTGCCAGTCAAGGAGGTGTCTCCTCCCTCCTTTCCCCCCTCACAACCGTTGTATGAGGCCAAGAGCATGATTGGCCAGCAGAAGGATTGGCTTAGAGAATGATTGGCTGAAAGTCATAGAGTTTTCCCTCGGATGACCGTGGCCACGCCCCCAGCATGCCCGGCGTGCCCGCGTCACTTCCGGGCGACGTGCACGTCAGGGTGGAGTTCCCCCTGAGGCCCGATCCGCCAGCGGTGGGGAAAGGGCCTCTGGGGCGGGGGTTTCCCCGCCCCCCAGTGGGACTTGGCAGGCCTACTGTGATAATTAATAATAATAACAATACATCTCTCCTTATATATAATTGAATAGTGGGTGCCAAAGTTCTAAAATGCACTCCTTTAGTGTATGGACGCTTGAACTGTCAGTCAGAAGACGCTGGCTGGGTTGACTGGCTGCTTTGTGCAGTCCCGCCCAGCGTTTCAAGGTCTTTTGCATATGGAAGCTGATTGGACTTCACTGCATTCCACACCTCAAACTCACCCCCCTCCCCGCAAGGCAGTTGGAATGTCAGTTGCATATGGAACCTTCAAGGTCTTTTGCATATGGAAGCTGATTGGACTTCACTGCATTCCACACCTCAAACTCACCCCCCTCCCCGCAAGGCAGTTGGAATGTCAGTTGCATATGGAACCTTCAAGGTCTTTTGCATATGGAAGCTGATTGGACTTCACTGCATTCCACACCCCTCACAACTGTTGGATGAGGCCAAGAGCATGATTGGCCAGCAGAAGGATTGGCTTAGAGAATGATTGGCTGAAAGTCATAGAGTTTTCCCTTGGATGACCGTGGCCCCGCCCCCAGCGTGCCCGCGTCACTTCCGGGCGACGTGTACGTCGGGGTGGAGTTCCCCCCGGGGCCCGATCCGCCGGCGGCGGGGAACGGGCCTCTGGGGCGGGGGTTTCCCCGCCCCCCGGGGGGACTTGGCAAGCCTACTGTGATAATTAATAATAATAACAATACATTTATTAATATTACGAAATAAAAATTTATTCCCACTGCACCGTTTTTTCTATGTCTCTTTGCAGCCCTTGCATTTTCTTCTATGAAAATTAAAACAGCATCATAAAAAACAATTAAAACCAAGAGCAAAATAAATATATGAAAACACAGGCCCCGCAGTTTGCTTTTTTGCTAATAAAAACAATTCACAGCCTTACCGTTCTCTTTCTTCTCAACCATTCTGTTTTCTTCTTTTTTAATTTATATTTATATGCTCTCAAATCATGACATCTCCTTCCAGTCCTCCATTTTCTGGGGTTGATCAGATGATGACCTACAATTTGATTCTAAAAGGCGTTGAAAGACTAGATTTTCCCAGAATAATATCCAAGCGTCCTGAAGATCTGATTCGGCGGCTCTGCAGGTAAGAAGGGCAATTTGGGGCAAAGGCTTTAGCTGGCTTTACATTTTCCGTTCTGCACCCCAAATCAAAAGGGCTACATTACAAACATCACACATTTTCCTGTTTGTCTCCAGCAAAATTGTTTTTACAAGACTTTCCTGTTTGGATAGGCTTTCCAGATATGAACAGCATATAACTGATTTTTTTTGTTTGTTTAATGATCAAGGTGAACTGGATGCTTGATATTTTATTAGTATTTGACGTTGGAAGGGTACAGTGCTTTATGCTGTGATGCTTTCTTTTTGCTGCCCAGTTGCGTCATCCATTTGGTGCATTTTGTGGAAAGGTGGGCTTCTCCTCCATCTTTTCCCAGGCCTATTGAGCTTCCAGCTGGCTGAGTCGCAGGCTGATTTATATGTAATGGACAACCGAGGTTTGCTGTTATGTGAACAAGCTCATTCGCATACTCTCTTCTCTCCCCCTTCCCTCTGTATGGCCAGGTAATTGGAGAGCTCCTCTTTCATGGCACACCATAACTTTGCCATTGCTTCAGAACCAGCAAAATAATTTTTCACTTTCCTTGCAATCCAGGATTCCAAACTATGGGCCCTTCCGCATTCTTATTTTTGTCACTCCTGTGTCCCTATTGCTTCTTTTTTTTCTTCTTCTTTTCCGCACATGTTTTGCTCCCTCTAGCTGTTGATTTGATATTACATCTCTGTATATCTGGCATAAAAACCTGAGGTTTAAAATCTCCAGGTTTTTATGCTGGACGTACAGCGATAGGACCATAGAGTTGGAAAGGACCTCCAGGGTCATCTAGTCCAGCCCCCTGCACAGTGCAGGAAATTCACAAATACCTCCCCCCACACACCCCCAGTAGCCACTGTTCGACACCCAGAAGATGACAAAAAAACCCTCCAGGATCTCCAGCCAAACTGGCCTAGAGAAAAATTGCTTCCTGACCCCGAAGTGGTGATCAGCATTTCCCTAGGCGTGTAAGAAAGGGCCACGAGAACTAAGCACTGATGCAACCTTTCCTGCCCTCCCTCTCATGATCTGTCTAAATACATAGAATCAACATTGCTGTATCTAGCCTCTGTTTGAAAACCTCCAAAGAAGAGAGCCCACCACCTCCTGAGAAAGCCTATTCCACTGAAGAACCGCTC